GAGCCCAGCAGGACGAGGCTGCAGTGGCCGGGAGCGGCCACTGCACTCCAGTCTGGGCGACAGAGTGAGACTCCAACTAAAAATAAACCCCAAAAAATAAAAAACAAAAAAACCCAAAAAATTAGTGAAGCTGAGTGAAGCGTATTCAAAAAATCAGAGCTTTTTGAACTGTTCTTTAAAAAAAAAAAATCTTGTAGAGATGGGGTCTTGCTATGTTGCCCAGGCCAGTCCTGAATTTCTGGCCTCAAGTGATTTTCCTGCCCCAGCCTCCCCAAGTGCTGGGATTATAGGTGTGAGCCACAGTACCCAGTCATTCGTACTATATTTGCAACACTTTTGTCAATTTGACATTAGTTGAAAATAAAAATCTTTTTTTTATCAAATAGAACACATATAGTACTTATTAGGTATCAGGTGTTTTGCATGGTTAATCCATTTATGCAACAACCATCGGTGCATGCCTGCATTTGCAGACAAGGAAACCAAGGCATAGAGCTGTTAGGCAACTTGCCAAGGGAACAGAACTGGTGAATGGCAACTCAGGGTTTAAATCCAGGCAGTCTGGCTCCAGAGTTCCCCCACCCTTAACCTCAGGATGGGAAATTGAAGCACTGGTTATGATCTAAGTCCACAAAGCAGGTTTTTGCATCCATTACTGCATTTGATGCTTTCAACCGCCCCCAGGAAGTACTGAAGTCACATCCCACCACTTGCATACCAATCCTGAATTGTATCCCACATCTTTAAAATAAATTTTTTTAAAAAGAGAGAAAATACAGATAATAATAATTTTTTTAAAAAATTACATCCCATTTATCTCATTTCAAACTTAGGACTTGGGCCAGGCCCAGTAGTTCATGCCTATAATCCCAGCACTTTGGGAGGCCAAGGTAAGAAAATTCTTTTTTTTTTTTGAGTTGGAGTCTCATTCTGTCGCCCAGACTGGAGTGCAGGGGCACACTCCCAGCCACTGCAGCCTCGCCCTGCTGGGCTCTGGTGATCCTTCTGCCTCAGCCTTCCAAGTAGGCAGAACTATAGGCGTGTGCTACCATGCCCAGCTAATTTTTGATTTATTGTAGAGATGAGGTCTCGCCAAGTTGCCCAGGCGGGTCTTACACTAAAGCCACTATGCCCGGCTTACACTAATTTTTTAAAATAATATTTTAATAATATTTAAACCCACGGGCTCAGGCAATCCACTTGTCTCGGCCTCCCAAAGTGTTGGAATTACAGGCTGGGCCACCGAGCCCAGCTAGTGGGAGGATTCTTAAACCCAGGAGTTTGAAACCAGTCTGGGCAACAAAGCAAGACCCCATCTCTACAAAAAATAGACAAATTAGCCGGGCATGGTGGCATATGCCTGTAGCCCTTCCTACTCAGTAGAAGGGTTGCCTGAACCCAGGAGGCTGGAAGTTGAGGCTGTTGTGTGCTGTGACTGTGCCACTGCACTCCAGGCTGGGGATACAGTGAGACTGAATTAAAACAACAACAACAACAACAACAAAAACAACTTAAGACTCAGAAAGGTTAAATAAACTGACCCAAGGTGCTCAGCTCCGAGGATGCATCAAGGGATGGTAACAATTACCACCGCAGCTGCCAGACTGGGCTCTTCACATCAGTTCTCTCAACAATAACACCCGAGGGATAAAAACCTCATTTAGTAGGTGAGAAACTGAGGATCAGAGGCTAACTAATTCCTCGAAGATCCCAAACTTAATAAAAACAAACCAGCCGGGCTCGGTGGCTCAGCCTGTAATCCTGCGCCTTTGGGAGGCTGAGGTGAGTGGATTGCCTGAGCCCGCGGGTTCGAGACCCGCCTGGGCAGCGAGACCTCATCTCTACAATAAATCAAAAAATCAGCCGGGTGTGGTAGCGCATGCCTGTAATTCCGGCTACTCGGAAGGCTGAGGTGGAAGGATCGCTGGAGCCCAGCAGGTCGAG